GAATTAACTTCAGTATGTAAAAATCATTTTTATATTTATTGTTTTTTTTTGTTTTGTTGTTTTTATTTGTTGATAGACTACATTACTACCATCTTTCTTTTTTGTTAGTAGTTTCATTTGTTCTCTTCATTCTTCTAGAATTAACTTTAAATCTAGTGGTAGGTATCTTTATTGTAATTGTTTTTATTTTTTTTGTTTGTTACTAATGCCTTTCTCTTTTTTGATAGTTTTACTTGTCCTTTTTGCTCTTTTTCTAGAATTGGCTTCAAATCTGGTGGTATCTTTATTGTATTTGTTTTTTTTTTGGTGGTTTCACTTTCTTTTTGCTATTATTCTTCAGATCTGATAGGTTTCTTTACTATTCATATTATTTTTTGTGTTTCTTGTTTGTGAGCCATGTTAGTAATGCTCTTCTCTTTTTTTAGATAGTTTTACTTGTTATTTTCACTCTTCTTCTGGAATTGGCTTCAGATCTGATAGATATCTTTCTGTTCATATTATTTTTTGTTTTTTTTTTATTTATGAGCCATGCTACTAACACTCTTCTCTTTTTTCAGTGATTTCACTTGTCTCTTCACTATTCTTTTAGAATTGGCTTTATATTTGGTGAGTATCTTTACTGTTTATATTGTTTTTTGTTTTTTTTTGTTTGTGACTACATTACTAATAGCCTTCTCTTTTTTTATATATATCTATAATAAATAGCTTAAGAAACAACCACTTACTTTTTCTTGAACAAATTACTACTGCAGATAACAAATATCTTCTACCATAGAATAATGTTTATTTACATATATATAAACTTACTAAAGGCCACCAACCCTTGTAGTTTAATAATATCTATCAGTTAGCAGAAAACAATACAATCTCAAATGTATGACCTCACCTTACTTTACCCTCAACTAATTCCTTCATCAATACAACTCACCTTATCTCTTTATCTTTCTCTTCTAATTTCTTTTCTCTAAATTAAATATACTATTTTTTGAATAATTTCTTTCTATCTCACCAAATATCTTTATCTACAACCTCAGTATTTAAAATTAATTCTAATAATGCAGAGATTTTATATCTTACACCTATTTTTCTTTATTTAATAATACTATATCCTTCTATCTTCTCTATAATTATATTAACAAACTTAACAATTCACTACATATTCAAATTGATTATAATGAAATCTTTGCATTAATATATGGGGGGCTGTTAGTAAAAACCAGGCAAATTGTTTTTAATAAGTTTTTTTAAAATTTTAAATTAAAATATCTAAACAACTATTAAACTAAACTTTATGATTTTTTTTTTATTTTAATTCTATTGCTATATAGAATTAAAATAAAAAAAATTTTATCAAGTTTGGTTTAATAGTTGTTGAAATATTTTAATTTAAAGTTAAAAAAAAATTTATTTAAAAACAATTTGCCTAGTTTCTACTGACACCTCTATATCTATATAACTCTATTTAAATCACAACACAACCACAATTACTACCTCAAATTAATATTCTTTTACAAGAAATTTAATTAATTCATAATATAATAAATTCAGCCACTTATTAATATCAACTAACAAACCTCTTATTATCAATCCAAAATCTAAACTTTCAAAAACTATATTTCTTTATATTTAGCAAATATCAAATCTGGTATTGGTTAGATCTATGAAAACAATACAGCTATTAAATTTAATACAGCTACTATCCCTTATCCAGACTCAACCTGAGTAGAACTTGAAGCAATTATTTTATTGCTTCTGGCCATTCTTTTTAATTTTCATATAAACATCTATCTAGAAAATAATATAGCTATCTAAAATCTAAAACAAACCTATTCTACTAAACCACTACAAATCAAAAATTGAGATATTATCCATATTATTAATCAAATTAAACTCATTAAAAATATTACCTTTACTCTTTATAAAATCAAATTACTTTCAAACTTACTTTATAAACAAGCTGATCTGCTTGCCAAATGGAGACCAATAAATCTATTCTTCAAATTAATTATAATTATCTAAAACTACCAATATACTTTTCTTAGAATAATAATCTTATTCTTTTCAAAATATGAACTTTCATTAAAAAAATATATACAATCTAAGAACTTTACTCATAGTATTCTCTTAAGATATTTAAACTTGAAATCAATTAACTACTTTGTTTTAATATTTTCAATTTTCTAGAATATAATTAAGGAAAATATTCATTTCAAATAAAAATTCTAACTAATAATCTTCTAACTATAGAAAATCTTTATATTCATTATCCTTATTTATATACTACTTCAAACTGTTTTCGATATCCAAATCTTGAAGATAATCTTCATCTACTACTATGCCTAAACAACAATATTAATATTTAAAACTTCTTATCCAATACAATCTCTAATACTTTATTTACTTTAAAAATTGATATATCTTATTTTCAATTCTTAATATTTTTTTCTTTTTAAACCTAATCTTTAATCTCTAATATAAATATATTTTATACTATATTTTAGACATCTTCTTTCTCAATATTTTTGATAACATTAAAGTATTTTTAAACAAGCAAACCAAATTCTTTCTTACTAATCTCTTCAACAACCTTTTAAATAGATTCTATAATGAAATATGATTTGCAAGAAATATCTCTCAACATGAATAGAAACAAGCTTATAATATAACCTCTAAAACCAAATAGAAAAAATTCTTCTTTAATGGACCTTTTCAAGTATTTACATCTATTTTAACAAATTCTTCACAAATAGATTTTACCTTATTTATAAAAAAATAGTTTTTAAAAAAATTCTCTTCTACTAATTGTATAATCTAATGCTATAATATATACCTTAGATCTCCTTCAACCTACTCTATCTAGCTAATTATTTAAAATACTTAGTTATAGTAATTATAGGAAATAGTGTGTATAATGTCATATTGAATACCTATCTCTAGTAATACAAATGTAGTTTAAAATCTTTAAATGTAGAACTATTCTACTTATTAATAAAGTTTTAACTATAATATTTTTTTTTTAAAAAAAAAAATATATATATATACTTGTATAGGCATTATTTTTTGGTGCCTCTCTTAATATCTAAAATTTTACTAGAGTAACACCTGTTGTGTGACTAATGAAAAATGTTTTCTGTAAAGTTTTTACACTAACCCAACCCTAATTCTAACTCTAAACCTAACTCTACCTTTAATTTAATGCTTATTTATATTGATATTGCTGTAGTTTGCTATAGGGTGCACCGTGTGCATCCTGCACAAAATAATAATTGTCTACTTGTATATATTCTATATTTGCCAAAGGTTTTTCAAATTTTCTAGGATTATACAGAAATTTTTGGTTGATTGGTTTATTTCATAACAAAAATCTTTAAATATGTGTTTTTTATTAAAAATTTAATCAATTGAATAATTTACTTCTATTAGAATCAAAAAAATCTATTCTACAATATTTACTTAGAAATTAAAAGCAGTTAACTTAATAAATATTTTTAAAATATTAAAAATCAAAAAAATTACCATCAAGATCATATGAAAAATGATCTATATACACTATCTTTAATTTGGTAATTATTAAAAATTAGAGTTAATTATTGTTGTAAATCATAATGAAATCAGATTAAAATAAAATGAGCGGTTTCTATTTGCTTCCTAAAACCCACTTATACTTGTTTATTATAAAACCTACCCCTAAACCCTAATCCTAACCCTAAAAAAATGCCAAATCCCAAAAATTTGTATTTTTCAGTGGTTTGTCTATTTTACACTATCTCTTATTTCATTTTAATCTAATTTTATTTTAATTCGTCACAATTATTAATATAAAATTTTTGTTTAATAAAATCTCAATATAATTACAAAATATTATTATTATTATTTTTTTTTTAATATTAATGGTGAGGACAAAATATTATTTTTAATATAGCTACTGTATAATTATATATAATAAACTTTATATTAGTTATATTTTTATATAGTTATTATTTTGTAGAATAAAATCTAAGTTTGTAATATATAATTTGTGATCAATTATAGAATATTACTATTTCCGCTAGTGGTATCTCAAAAACCTACTAACTCACGTCAGAAGTACTAAGCAAAAATGTTTAGAACTCCAAAAACCTAACCCTAACTAAAACTTAGACCTTTATATCTAACATTAACCTTTGGTTTAAAATTGCACCATCATCCTAAATTTTGATAAAATAAAAGTGGCGGTGTCGCCATCGGCGATAAATATTATTTTATTATGTTTTACCAATATTTTTATATCAGTCTTTTTTACTATATAAAAGATATATTTTTTTTGGACGTATCTAATTGTAACGTGTTACACGCTTATTTGTAACAACTTAGCACAGCCAATAAAAATTCGTATAAACCAAACCCTAACTCTAACTATTATTGGCTAACTGTAATGTTGTTACTATAACGATAACATATTACGTACAAATCATTAACGTTAATTCATTTTTTTTTAAACTGGATCTTATGTAGTATTTAGCAGGTGAACTTGAGTATGATTTATACGTGCATGTGTCATCTATACTGGTTAATAGTTGATCAATAATACTGGAATAAATATCTAATTTAGGTGTTTCTCTTGGAGGTTTTAATTTTAATTAAAACCGAATCGATTTTTATATATTTTAAGAGCACTAGTAGTATAGTAATTATTTGGTTATCCGGTTTGTCTGAACGCATAGGTGGGATCCCATTTCTACCTCAAAGAACTTTCAAAGTTATGATTTGACGGATAATGAATTGGATCCATCAATTCTAGAGAAGTAATAACTGAGGTATTAATAAATTGAAAGTTTCATTGTGAGATATCGTAAAAGTCATCCCGAAAAAGTGGATAGATTCACTATTTGTATTTTTTTTTTATTGAATCTTTTTTTTTTTAATTCATATCTACATATATAAAACAAATATTTTAGAAACAATCTAAAATTACAAATAGGATAATTTGTTCATAATGTGATGATTCATTAGTTTAAGTATTATAATTGTCTCGATTTCACAATCACAAAGAATAATCCACCCAAAATCAAACCAATAAATCCATAAGTACTTGCTTTACGGCATCGATTTCTCCATTTGTAATCATCTGGCGTAGCATCCGAAGTAGGTCGAGGTAAGTAACATGATCCAATCCACCATATTGGCATTATAAACCATCCTATCCAAAACATATATTTGGCAATTACAACGGTCGAAGCTTCGTTTGTTGAAAAATCAAACGTATTTTTTTTAATTGATACATACAAATCATTAACATGAGTTTTAGTGTTTTCAGATTTGTTAAAGAAAATTTGATTCGTTTTCTGTTGCTGAAGATGAACCGATTTGGAAATTCGTTTCTGATATTGAGGATAAGAAAGTAAAGTATTTGCCTTAATTTCTGCAAGTACTTCATATACGTCATATGACGGAGCATTTGAAGAAAACGGTCGATGTAATGTGTCATTTATATCCAATATGATTTCTTTGTTTTTCCCTTTGAGAACATTATTAATTTCACCAAATGAGTTCAAGGGCTCTACTTCATTCTCTGGATATGTGAGCGGGACGGAGGATGTTGAGGAATATGAGACTGAAACATCAGTATCGATACTGTCAGATGCTGAAGAGGATCGACTACCAGAAGCCGTTGAAATGGAAGAAATGGAAATAATTTGACCATTGTCGAGATATGGTATAGATGGTAAAGATTTAGAAATCTGGTTTGAAAAGGTAGCAGAATTAATTAATTGTAATGCCGGAAATTTGCCGATCCCATTATAGTCGTTGTGTACATCGCATTTGTTGATGGTGGTTGAGTCATAACTGTTATTATCATTAGTTGACATTTTAGCAAGTATATTTTTTCCAAGAAATAATCTAGTTGTCTCCAGGACAGGCTGATTTTCTTTCTCGCTTGCTTTATCAAGTGTTGTGTCAACTAACGATTGAACTGTAACGAGATGATGTCCGCTTTTATATTTTTGATCTATCCTTTTTCAATCAATACAATACAGCAATAAATAACCTGAAACAGATGATCCGCAACATAGATGAGGTTTGAAGGCAAATCTGCTAATTATGTGTGGTTCGAATGTGGTGAACTATGATGAGTATGCGTTCACCATGAAAAATACATAAACATTACCGATATATATGCATGATTGAACATTATCCATTTTCTTATATTAAATGATTTTGCCAAACATTCATCAATTATGAATAATTACGTAATTGATTTAAACCTATTTTTATACCACAAGGTTTTTTTTTTTAACTCATTGTTATTATTATGTTTTCATGATTAATTTACGATACTCCATGAATATCTGTTAAGAATGAAAGTAAAGATCGCGTGAATTACATAGAATTAATAGAAAACTGGTTAAAAATGTTAGACGAGATCATAAAATTAAAAGCTCAATATTATAACGAGAAGAAACGTATGCTACGATAACTAAAGCAATTTACATGTACTTGTCGTCAAGCAAACGTCAGAATGCCCGTCTTCATGCACATGCATCATATATACATATATGTATGTATATATATGGCCGAAGACGAAACATAGGACAATGTATTTATTACAAATAGGCTTTTTTTGTGAAATTCTTACACTAATCGATCGAATAGTTTATTTGTTAGATAATTTAGAATTTATTCGATCGAAATAGTTTATTTGTTATATAATTTGGAATTTACCGATGTCAATAATATTTTGTATTGGTAACAAATTATTAATACGGTTTCATCTCAGACTAGGGATGGTAAAAAAAAAAACAGTTTTTAACCATTTTTTTCACCGATTTAAAACAGGTGATGATTAAAATCCGAATAGTTAATATCTTAATCATAACCTGTTTTTAATTACGTAATAAAAAACTTTGGTCATCCTTATCTCAGACCAAAAAGGCCAAGTAAGATTAATTAATCTAAAAGCTGATATGACGAAAATGGTCGCTCAGACCTAAAATGTTATTTAAACAATTCGAACAATTTAAATGTGGGTTTAAGCATTTACACTTCAAATCTCTCATATGATTTTATAAAGCGGGTTTTTGAGTGTTAGCCGACAAATAGTCAATTTTACTCAAAAATGATTATAATTTATCCGGAATTTTTTTTCGTAGCTAATGAATTCAAATATCCGATTCGTCTCTTTTTATACAAGCTCATTACTATGAAGAACATGTACAGATATTGCTCCTCCGCCATCAAGAACCTACACAATGGACTTTAGAAAAAAAGAATATCTATTTAATTTGATATGTTTTTTTATACATCTCAACTTTCTGATGTTCTTGCTCGATATCAAAAAGATATAATCAAATCTTATAAATCAACGATGAAATAATGATGAGAAATAGATATCAATTATATAAATTTTTTTTTGTTCTATATAAAATGGAAAGTTCTTCATTTATAAAATAGATTCATTTATGTTTTTTTTTTTTTGTTTTATACATATGGATAAAAAAAAAATAAAATTCTACTCCATCACGAAATTAAACTAAGCACAACCTTATATTCGACAAATAGAAATATTAAACAAGTATTCAAATTTAATATTATTTAAATATTTAAAATTTTAAATACTTAATATTAAATTTTATATTTATTAAATATTTAATTTTTTAAATATTTATAAGTATTTTAAATAAGTATGTATTTGTAATTGTTTTTTTTTTTTTTTTTTTGGTAAAGTATTTGTAATTGTATTTATTAAATATTAAATAAATATTTTATAAATACTTAGCAAATACTTCGACGAACTTCGTGATATCTATATTGTATCATAAATATCATGATCAAGCTTCGATTGTAGTAGATGCAATTACATGTCGCTTGCAACGAACGACAAACTTTTTCCCCACAAATGCATCAAGCGGACGAGAAATAACAAGGCGAATGGCCGGACTACCATATCCATAATCAACAATTTGCGAATTTTCCAGCGCTTCTACGAATTTATCTAGTTTGTTAAGGTTGATTTCACCAGCTGATACACTCAAATATTTAGGCTTGCAATGAAAAAGGTTAAATAATCCTAAAATGACTGTTTTGTCTCCATAATTGCTCAACGAAAAATGACATTGGATTATTCCGGGTTTAAACACATCGGCTACAGCAACATTTGTGATAGTTTTGTGAAGGGCTTTGGATTCCGTAGGTGCTTCAGGTTCTTTAGGTGTTTTAGGTGCTTCTGATTCTGTAGGTGCCTCAGGTGCTTCTGATTCTGTAGGTGCTTCAGGTTCTTCTGATTCTGTAGGTGCTTCAGGTTCTTCTGATTCTGTAGGTGCTTCAGGTTCTTCTGATTCTGTAGGTGCTTCTGATTCTGTAGGTGCTTTAGGTTTTTTAGATCCTTTAGGTGCTCCAGGTTCTGTAGGTGCTTCGCATTCTGTAGGTGCTCCGCATTTTGTAGGTGCAGTTACTTTAAGTAATCCAAAACCTTTAGGTAATCCAAAACCTTTAGGTAATCCAAAACCTTCAGGTAATCCAAAACCTTCAGATAATCCAAAACCTTCAGGTATCATCCTACGATCATATATTGGCACATCACGATGTTGTAAAATTGACAGAGGACTGGCGGAAATGCAGGAAAATCCAAGAATAATATATAGTATACTAAATGTAATTGAAGGTGTTGATTTAAATTTGGTGAGCTTCATTTCAAATTTTGGTATTAAACAACACGACATTTTGCAAGTTAAACTAAATAGATAATGTTTTTTGTAAGAAGATAAAAAGATGTAAACGTAATAATAATTTCTTGATGGATCTGTGAAGTGCTTCTCGAGCAGCTTTGTGCCCTTTTTATTCATGAAAAACAATAAAAATATTCAAGTATCAATTTTTTTTCCTTCACATACAAGTATTTTACTCCTCGAATTTGATATCTTTACGAGCATATTTTAATTTAGAATCATTTTGCAATGAGTCATAAATTCGTTAAAAGATTTTGGAAACCCGTGGACTCTCTCTTTTTAATATCATCTCTTTAATTTCATCACTTACTGTTCGAATTACACTGATCAGCATTAATCAATGATAGACTGTCAATACATTTGTAATTATCTTCGCAATTAATATCTCAATTTCTCAATTTAATTTTTAGATCTCAAATTATTAGTAAAGTATTTATTCATGTAACATTTTTAAAACTTGTTTCATTCATTCGCATATAAAATAGAAAAAAAACTTCAAAGATATATTACGTAATTTACTGCACGTATAATTAAACTCATTAATTTTTTTTTAATGGTGCAGATCATGGTGAGTTTGTGATGCTAAATGATATTTAAATACATCAGGCTTTAATTGCAATCAATTTGATCTTTTAAATAGCGGAATTTTTTGCTTTCCTATTTTTAACAACTGTCCTAATTATTCAGTGCGTTAGAATATTGGGTGTACTTTACTTATCTTGCGCCAGTTCACGATCTGGGGAGAGCTTTATCAGCCTTCGTATCTAATATGGGACATGCGATTGAGTAGTGATGATCGAAAGTTCTGCACTCGAATTAGAAGATAAGATCACAATCCTAGATATGTATGAAAAAGTTTGAACGTGCCTTACGTTGTAACTTTAGTTACTGTATTTTCCAAAATTAAATTACTGTATTTACCGTTACATTAGTTAATTTCGGCAAATAATTAACCGTCATTGCGTTACCACTTTAAAAGATTTCTCTGATCAATCAAAAATGCTAAAATCAAAATAATCCAAAAAAGATGTAACTCAAATTTGCCTATGTAATTCCTTCTGCGTACTAACTAAAAATTTTCCTTGCGAAATTTTTGTATTATTATTCCTTCAAACCTTAACTTGAGAGCGAAAACATGACCCTAATCTGTAGCAACTTTTTTTTTTAGCGAAATGTTCTTGGTTAGTAACGTTAGTGTTTTAGCAAGAACTTCAAGCGCCTGAAGTTACACCACCAGGCAGGTACGTACAGACTTTAGGTACAACATTGGGAATAAATAAATTTTTTAACAAATAACGTGATTTAAAATAAATATTAAAAAAGTTTACAAAAATTGTAATCAAATGTTCTGCTTTAATATCTCAATTTTTACAAGAAGTTTATTCAATAATTATAATTATTGTTAACATCAAATTTTATTTGTATTATATTCAAACTTGTAATATAAATTTATAGTATCTTTTTTATTTAATGGGTATTAAAAAAAAATAATAATAATAAATAACACTCTATGTAACAAACATTAAGGAATAAAATTAACAGTATTTATTTGTGATCGAAAATAAAAATAACTAAAACTTTAGCACAGAAATAAATAAATGAATGCACTATTAGTGCCATTTAGAGTACAAAGAAATAAGTAATAAAAAGAAGATCAAGACGAAATTACCCCATTTACTTTTAAATTATATAGATAATACATTATTGAATTTTTTTAATATCTGCCTTACCGGCTTGAACGTACGACCTCCTTCTGACCACAAATTTTTTTCCATTGATTTCATCAATAGTAAAACCGGTAAAAACGTATGAAAATGGAGCCGTGCCTGGAACAACAATTGTAATTACACCTTTCAATTCTTCAGTCAAGTCCTTAAAAATCTTGTCGTCACTATCAACAATCACATAATCAAAATTATCAGGATGTGTATTCGGAAATCCACTATTAAATTGTCCGCTACAGTTGACTTTCTTCTCTTCTACTTCTGAGAAATGAAGTTCTCCGGTAACTGTTCTTACACTATCTGCTTGAGGAAAAACTGCAACAGCGACGTCTCCAGCTTTACGTTTCGTCGTGCTTGGATATGGGTTTACGGAGATTATTGTAAGTAAAATGAAAAAAGAAATGAGCAGAAATTTTACAGATATCATTTTTTTTAAAAAAAAAATTGTGTTTTGATATTAAAAATTCCTTTTAAATAGAAATATCTTTTTCGAAATTATATTTATGTACAATTCGGAAATGAATTTGGAAATGAATTTTTCTCAATCAAAAGTTTAAAGTTGATTTGGAGATGTTCTTATATGTTGTTCCTTCCTTAACAAAATACAGGTAAACTCGTCGATCCAAACCTGGCTTGTCCATTCTCGATAGCTTCTAAGCAAAAGTTTCAATAGTTTTGGGCTACAAAAAAAAAATCTTTTATTTCGATTTCACTGCAAATCTCTTTAACATTCATTTTTGTATTATAAGCCACCATTGGAAAAACTCGATTCTCTTGCCCCAAAAAGCCTCGCTAATATTTGATTTGAATATTTCGTCTCAATTTTAGTCTAAGTCACGATCGCCAGATTTTCATTTAAGCCATGATTGATCGCGGCTACCAGAAAATAGTATTAAAAAAAAAGCTATTTTCATTAAAAGGCTAAAAGGTCACTTGCATGTAATGAAAATAAGCCATTATACACAAGTCGATCTTTTGCTTACAGTTTTGCCGATGAAAAATTTGATATGATCGCGATTACATTCGATACGCGTATACTAACACAGCCCTAATAATTTTCTAATTTTTAATTCGCATTCTATGCGTAAAATATAGCACTAATAGTAATAATAATAATATTATTATTATTATTTCTTTATCAAAACGTATAACACTACAGGATAATTATACATGCGGTCAAAATTATTTATGCTTGTGTAGTAACTAGTTTCGAATAGGTCTAAATCGTTTCGGCACATAAAGATAATAAAGTAACAAAGCATTGATAACATCAAGCTTCCATAAAGTAGTTTTTAAATGCAATATATAGGTGTAAAGAATACATAATGTAATATAGATGTTATATATGAATAGTTTTATTATTATATATAATGTTAACACATTCCACATTACGTATTAAATTTTCATCTGAATACTGTACTTGCCCAATTTGTTTAGTACTCTTAGTTTGTGCGAAAATTTATGAAAGACTGTTCTTGTCAACTAATAAATAAGACAATAAAAATTAGACTTCTATTATACAAATACTGAAATTAAAAAGCTAGAGATGATCATTGATTGGTTTAAAGATGTAACTCGAGATTCCAAAAATGTGTTTTAAGAATTATGATCAAGACAAAATCGAAGTACGTAATGTTTTATGTATTATTTATATCACTCAGGATTAATAAACTTAATACATCCATATCTTTTGAAATTGTTTGAGAACTCGACTAATAGAAGATCTGCTAACGCTAAGCGTTTAGTAATTTTTCGAATTGATAACCCTTCTAAATCTTTTGTCGACTATTTGCCAACGAATATGCTTCGAAAGTATCACTTAACCATTTAACCCGATATTGAATTATCTGGTCATTACACTGTAAATAGTAAATATTACATGGACCATGTCGAAATCAATAACTTATCGAATCGGCAGAATAATCGTTCGGTTAATTCTTAATCAAGTGTCCCGGGAATAATGATAATAGCTGTAAACGGAATTAGAATCTCTAGCCGAAGGTAGTAACAATCGGTTATAATAGTAAAAAATTTCAAAAAAAAAAACATTAACGGAAAGTCTGTTCTATAGGTGCACATCTCTAAATGCATACTTTATTTTGGTTTTGAGCCTGAAATTTAGTGCTAAGTACACGTCCGACTTTTGCTACCATCAATAAAAAACGGCAAATTACCATTTTTAAAAAACTAACGCATAATTAATATATACCGTATTCCTCCGAAAATAAGCACCCCTTTTTTGCTATAAGGTTGCTTATTTTCAGGTATAATCTCATCTAATAATTTGAATGACTTGATATTTTGTTGCTTATTTCTATTATATAAGAGGTGCTTATTTTCGGGTATATATGAATTGTAGGGGGGTGCTTATTTTCGGAGGAATACGGTATATATTGATATATTTGCTCTAAATGCTTGATCCAAGGCGTGCACTTAAAGAGTAGTGATGCGGTAGAATCGTCCCAATTATGGTCGTCACATTGCCGTAACTTGCCGTAATTATAGTAAGTAGTATAGTAAGTTACGACTATAATGCCGTAACTTACTATATTACTTTGCTATAGTTACGGCAAGTTATGGCATCACTATTAAAGAGGTTTGATACCAGATTAACAATCAGTTTGTAAGGTATGTAAAAAATAAAACCACCGGTGAAACCATCTTCACGTTCTTATAAAAAAAAAAAAAACAAATTTCGATATAAAACTATTTCTTCCTAATCTTAACCCTTTGCTGTAATGTTCTATTATTTTGAACTTACAGCACGCTTTATTTAATTTCTTTTTCGAACTTTCCCATTTTCATGTTACACCGGGTCTTGCAAAATTCTTCGGGTGTTCTTGGGATAGTTCCGGCTGTCCGTGGAATTGCCGGAAATGGGGTTTACCGATAACTGATAAGTTTTAGGTACGTACGTACGTAACTATGAGTATCATCTGATCTGGAGCCGGTATCAATGATGTAATTATAATAAAACAATGGATTACTAAAATCTCCTTATTCTCGTTTTTTGCACAATCTTTATTTAAATGAAACTATCAAATAAAACAAATTTATTTTTTCAAATAGTTTTTTTTATGCTTATTGGCATACTTACCAATACTACACTAGAAATGGATACCGCGACCGCAATATTCACACCCAAAGATGGTGATACTACCCAAAGTCTAACAGGTCAATTCAATTTTACTCAAATTACTTCTACGAAAGTTCATGTCAGCGGTCAATTAACAAGTGGGATGTTCGATAAAGACATCAAGAATTATAAATTTTGGATTGCAGACAGTCTTGGGCTCCTTTTTTATGAGTTCTCTGAAGGATTCATTAAAAACAATGAAGGATGGAACATTAATAGCAACGGAGGGACTAGCGTTTTACAAAGTGATTTTGAAGGAATTAGTGTTAATGGAACTTATGGAATCGTTAATCTAATATTATACGTTTCTTTAATTGATAAGATTCTTGGATCGACTCAGATTAAAAAAGTTGTATAAAATTTTAGTTCAAAGGTTTCTTGTACCGTTTAGCATTGCTAATAGATATGATGAATAATACCTGGTTCTTAATCATGGGAATATTATTTATAAAATATTATAAGTAGTGCTAAACGGTATCATGCAGTATAGTGTTTATGTTGGAATATTTTGGAATTTCAAATAAAGTAATCTGTTATGCATTAAGAAATAAGCTGGAAGCTTGTGGGTAGTGGTCAGTGTCTTAATATTAGGATAATATATCAGCAGTACAATAACAATGTATGATCCCGAGTTTAGATCTTTTTTTCAGGATTAAATGCGAGGATTGACGATGTTTCAAAGGGAATATTTACATAAAATTTGTGCTTTATTAGTCTTTATATATGTTGTGTGTTAATATGAATAATTATAATTTCACTAACATTTAAAGCGTGTGTACTTATTGTGGCGAGAGTGGGGGTCTCTATTTAAATCTATAATACCTACGAAAATTCATTTATACTCTTTTATTAATAAAACCCTAATCTATCTA